GAAAAGTCTTGGTATCGAAGACAGCTTACTAGACCGGATTAGGGAATTCCTCATAGATAGGGGTCAGAGTGTCAGGACCAACTCGAAACTCTCCTCCTGGACAGTAGTGCGTAGCGGAGTGCCACAGGGCATAGTACTCAGACCTCTCCTATTTATTTTGTATATCAGTGAGTTATCTCTGCTCACGGAATCCCCTATGATCCTATACGCAGATAACTTAAAAATATGTAGTCTTCCATACTTTTCGAACAACTTGTTCTTATTCTGACTAAGGTAATACCATTATTTCACGTGTGAGACTAAATTATTTTTAGAATATTGAAATCTTATGGCAATTATATCATTATCCGAAATAAAGGCCGTTTGAAATACAAGTTCACCACAATGGTACACACTGTGTTCTTAGCGCTAATGCACTGTGTCTTAAAATGAACAGTAGGCTGTGCCAAGAATATAAAGGCAGAAACTAATGCTGAAATTTGAATGAGAATGCTAACAATTATTAAACCAATTAAGACAAAAGAGTTTCATTAATTGGACAAAGTATGCCGGTATGTTTTCATGAAAATTCAAATATATACTTGTAAGGGCAATATCGCTTGAAATTAAGTCACGCGTAGATAAAGGCTATCCCGGTCCAGAACAAACAAGAAGCCGGTCACTGTTTATACGGTACTATTAGTAGGCAAATCAATAATCATATAAACAACAAACCTTAACGGTTTCAAGGGTACAAAGCACAACGCTCAACAGAAGGCAAGGCACCGCTATCAGAGCGGAATAACGTTAAAGCCAAAATCGCGAATTAGCCGGATCAGACACGACCGTTCAGGTAAGCAGTCAGTAGAAGAATGAACCCAAGTAAGAGGTAGACAGAGCATAGGCACAAAGATAGAATTTAATTGGCTAATTAACCAATCAATAAATAAGATAAACTCGACAGAATAGTACAAAATAAGACATGGGTCAGAAAAATAACAGTTCACAAAAATACTCTGATTGGATCATGAGTTCAACTGTCTGACTAAACAGATCGAAGTAAAAGGACACACACAGTTCATTAAACAAGGTGGGATAGACACGCTAGGCATGGATAATTGGGTTGCAACAATGCTAGGCTGATCCGAGACAGGTTGACTTGATTCAAGGATGGAAATTGAACTGATCTTATAATACTCTTACATTTTGAAATTCTCGCCAATTTGATCCATTACACAGCGCAAATATTCGCATCAAGCAACATTTTCACATACAAGTTCAGCAAATATAACGCAATTGAAGGACATTATGTCGCCGGTATTATATAAGTCAGAAAAGTTTTTAATGCAAAATTCTATTTGTAAAGCATTTAGAGAACAGAATCTGTCAATGGATTTCAAAGCTACAGTTAGCGGGGATATGCAATAAAGCCACTCCTATCATAATACAGACAGAGAGGAGATTTAATTACAATGTTTAAAATTTTTAATGGTGAATACGGACTGGACTACTCTCCCTCTTCCTTCCCGCCAGATCGGAAGACCTCAGAGGACACTGCGGGAGAGTTCACAAGACAAGAAGAAACCATATTGGTTTTGACCACTGGTCCTCCCACCGAATCATAAACTCCCAGAAGAAGTGGTGTCTGCAACCTCAACGGATTAATTCAAGAAGGGTTTGTATAGGCACAGATATTTACTAGAAAAGTATCGACATAGATTCAAAGCCTTCCATCCTCAACCAATAAATCAGAATATGAATCTGAAACCTGAAACTCATACATTTGGCTGTCGCTACTGCATATCTATTGGAAAGCTTTAAACGAGGCCAGATGATCATGAAGCAACACAAGGATTGTGTCCAGACAGAATATTACCCTGCCTCTCACATAGGGCACTCTATTGATGGTCATCATCTAATTTTGGCCTTAACCCCTGTCCAGCTCCGAAGTCTCACTGGTCTTATTATTCTGCCTATTCATCCGAATTATTATATCATCAGTTTTGTTCTTTTTTTCTGCCGCACCATACGGTTAATAGGCGAAAGGACCAACACCATTAATAGTAGCCAAAAGGTCTTAACACACCAGATATTATAATCCACATAACCAAAAAACAGGACCGCGCTCATTTGAGTTAACCAATTAACAACAGTCCAGTGGCAGGACTAACTATGTAGAAGTTTATCGAAAACCAGGAACCCCTGTCTTGCAACAAATAAGCGAGCACAAAGTAATTAACTTCGTTTACACTAGCTCGCAAAAACGATATTGGACATCGGAATTCTACACTGCTCAGATGGGAAGTCTTCTAGACTGGATTATGTGCTCACTAGTGACCAGCTACTAGTGGTAAACTTTCAGATCACGACTCCCGTAGGTAGTAGTGACCACGCAGTCATAGTATTCGACATAGTCCTCCACGAGCGTTTACAGTGGGACAATACACAGCCCTATCTGTGTTATAACAAAGCCAATTACACCAAAATGCGAAGACTTTTGTCTGAAGCAAATTGGCCAAAAAATTGGGCAGAGCTTACAGTAGAAGAACACTGGGGAATGATAAAGTAGATCATTCGCTAGGCGGTCTCAGACACTGTTCCTTTAGTCACACCAAAAGCTAGAAAGCAACGTTCATGGCTAAAAAGGGGGACACAACGCCTTCTACAGGCGAAACGAAAAGCCTGGTTCGCGTGGCGAGTATCGAAGAGTCAACCCGAACATGAAGTGTACCTTGAACTCAGGAATCGATGTAACATACGAGTCCGGAGTTACAGAAGGACATTTCAGAGAAACCTCGCCAATAAGCTTCTCGTGAACCCAAAAAGCCTATACAGGTTTATGTCTGAAAGAAAACCGACCAACCAGGGAGCTTGCAATCTAGCGGATTCTGATGGGAAATCTCTTACTAGTCTTGAAATGGCAGAGACATTCAGTCTAGCCTTTCACAGGCAACTGAACAGTAACGAGGATTTTACCCCCACAAAACATCAAGATTACAATGCAAGACCAACGTGCGAAAACCTACTGGGTACATTTCAAATTACCCTGGTTATGGTACTCGTAAAATTGGGAAAGCTGGCTTCGGGAAAGTCTGCAGGTTGCGATGACATAAGACCATCCGTCCCGAAGCAGTGTTCAGAAAGTCTCTGCCAACCCCTAAGCGATCTGTTTCAACACTCCTTTGATGTAGGGAAACTTCCATGTGAATGGAAACGAGCCATCCTATCCCCTATCTTCAAGGGTGGTGACCGGCAGAACGCGACTAGTTACAGACCAGTTGCGCTACTCCCAGTGATATCGAAGATATTGGAAAGTCTCATTGACGACCACATGAGAAAATACTTCGACGGGACTAACCTACTCCATGAAGCACAGCGCGGTTTCAGGAGGGGAAGATCCTGTGTGACGAATCTTCTACTAGGTTGGAACGATTGGACACTATCCTGGGGTGTAAAGGTACCATTCCATGTGATCCTTCTCGAATTTGCGAAAGCATTCGACACAGTTCACCATGGTCTGCTCCTTCACAAAATAAGCAAGGCGGGTGTTTCTGGAGCACTTCTCGCATGGCTGAAAGATTACTTAGGCGAGAGAGAACTCTGCACCAAAGTCAATCGCATCCGATCATCCTGGCACACCTCGGCATCAGGGGTTCCTCAGGGTTCTATCTTAGGGCCGTTGATGTTTTTGATTTTTATCAACGACCTGCTCATACAACTGAACTGCTCTGCGCTTCTTTACGCAAACGACGTAAAGATTTGGAGAGCAATAAACTCATCGGAAGACTCTGACAGATCGCAGGCTGACCTGCAAACTCTGGGAGACTGAGCTCTAGCTAACGGAATGCCTTTCAACCTAAAGAAGTGCAAAGTAGTGCAACTTCATTCCGGCAGGTCACAGGGTGCAAGTTACACCCTTGGTGGCCAGAACTTGAGTTGTGTGCCATCAGAGTGCGATCTAAGTCTTATTCTGACAGAAAAGCTAGACACCAGTGTAAATTACACGAGGGACGTCGCCAAAGCCTACGCAACTTTACACTTTATGCATAGGCAGCTGGGAGCTCTTACTTCCGAACTATTCTTAAGGTTGTATAAGACATACGTTAGGCCACACCTTGAGGTGCATAATATCATTGCTCCTCCGCTACTCAAAAGGGATGCTAACATTCTAGAAAGTGTCCAGAGACGAGCGACAAAATGGGTGATCGGCCTCCGCAACAAATCATATGAGGAAAGACTGAAGAAATTAAGTCTTTTCACACTTAGTGACCGTAGTCACAGGGGAGACCTCATCACCGTCTATAAGATCTTAAATGACCAGGCTCACCCTAATAAAAGCATCCTGCCATTAAGTGATTATAGGCTTCCACGAGGTAACCCGCAAAGGATGGCACACCAGAGACCAAAGACTTGAGTGCGTTCACATTTCTTCTCGCTTCGAGTTTGTCGTCTCTGGAACGCTTTACCGGCGGCAGTGACTACAGCGCCATCTGTGGAGACTTTTAAGCGGAAGCTGGACAATCATGCAGAAATGCATGGTTTGTGTCTCAATGGCTTATCCTCTTAAAATTTGAAACCACACTGTCAATGAATAAGCATACAAACTGAATCCCCACGACCCGTCCTGTCTTCTCTCACTGTACCGACTACTCTATCTTTTCTTTCTTTATTATTTCGCTTTTATTATTTCACTTATCTCAAACTATATTATCTACACTACAACCTATTATTATTATTCTACTTTTATGACTACACCGAATTACCAACGGGTGTTAGGTCAAACTCCATTCACGGCAGCAGCTGAGTCCTAACATACTGCACACTACAAACCACAATCTTGACCAATCCTCTCACCACTCCTCTTGGAGTCTACCAGAGCTAAAGCAGTCGAGTGGCGGGATTTACTACGCATAAGTTCACCGAAGATCTGGAAACTCTACCTTACAATCAAGAAGCGAGCTCAAAGAAATCGCTGGTTTATACTAGCTCGTAATCAGGATATTGGATATTGGAAGCTATTAGTGAATATTTAAAAATGATGCGTTACTGTTAGTTGATTGGTTACGTTCGATTTGTAAGGGGAAATACAAAGAAAACCATGCTCTTCATTTACTCGCAACATTGATAGCTGTTAGTTTTTAAATCAAAATGTCATGCAAGGAAGCTTCTCCGGTTACAAGAAGTGGCCTTATAAGTACTAGTGATGTACTCGGTAAGCTTTGCTAGTAAACTCACGAGATTCAAATTATTAAGGTTCTGGAAAGAAGTTCACATGGGTTAGCAGGTAAATTTAAACATTGTTTGCTGCCGTTTCCTCTGCTTTGTTCGTAGGAGGTATTTTTTCTATCGCATAATTGTACAATATAATATTATGTACAGTGATTTCTAATATTCTAAGACTATCATATACGTGCATAATGTTCAAAATAATTTATTGTATCCATCTATTTTATTGAGGCTTTGACCTTAAGTGTGATACTTTGATAGTGGATTCGACCATTTTAGTGTTTCGATATATCGATCTTTATAAAAAAGTAGGGATTACCCTGCCAAAAGGTCAAAAGTGCTTGCTGATCTAGGTGAGAAAATAATACACCCTCTAGGATTAGGAAAAAGCACAACATTCTCGCTAGATCTATATACAAATGAGACATTTCGAAATGTCATATATGACATTAATTTGCAATCGCATAACAGCATTTTTCATCTCTCATTTGTATATAGATCTAGCGAGAATGTTGTGCTTTTTCCTAATCCTAGAGGGTGTATTATTTTCTCACCTAGATCAGCAAGCACTTTTGACCTTTTGGCAGGGTAATCCCTACTTTTTTTTCAACATCAGATTAGTTCTTTCGAAAATAGTTAGATTTTACAATTTACAACTTTACATTTGATGGACTCTTCATGTAGCTGAAGGATAACTTGGATTAAAGAATTATTTGCATAAGTGCACGACTTCAACCGATAACCCAAGCTCAGTACTTGACTTATTTAGTGACAAGTAGACAGGCTTGCATGTAATATTGTACGTGGAATTGTTTAGCCATCATTTTCAGTTTGGTTAAAAGTTTCCATTATCATTGATGTAAAATATGTTTCGTTCTGAAAAGTTTTAAGAATTTGTGAAGAACTAATTTCTGGTAACAGAAAGCAATATTTCGTAAACTTTTAGAGAAATAGCTCGGGATAGTCGCCAGAACTCTGAGGTGATGCTTAGCAACATCACACACTGGAAAAAAAAAAATTAAAAAGTAGTAGATAAAGTTGAGTGGCATTCCCATAAAAAGGTTCATCAGGTGTATAATGGAAACCCAAAATTTCGATTCAGTGGCGTCGATTATACAACCACTGAGTTTTAAACTACCGAGAACACCATCTAAGTAGTTCACCTTTTCCTGTATAGCCAATACATTGAACCAAGGAGTTTACCAGCTAATATCCTGAATTTTCTACTAGTGTAATTGTACTGTTGTCAGCATTTGCCGTCAAAAGAAGGTGGGGTTCAGTATGTGTAACATGTAAAGTTAGAAACAACTAAATTCAAATCTCGTTGAATTTTCCACCTCTCTTGTTTATCGCTGTCTTACATTATTAGTGCTCATTCGATGACTCCTCCATTTCTAAACAATAGTTTGAAAGTAATAATTGTATTAAGTATGATATTCATGTGAACACTGCACTTTCATCACCTATATTTCGTAATTTCAGAATCCAACAATGTGCGCTGCTTCAAAATAAAATTTTATTTCTAAAGTTGGTTAGATAAAGTAAAAAGGCATCTATAAATGTTCAATAATATAGTTTGTTACAAGATGTTGAACAGCACTGCATGGCACCTCTGCCTCTGAGAACAGTATGATGTGGGTCAAAATCGTTCTCAATGGTTGGCACAAGTGCATTCACTCTTCTTGATTTGTCATATCCAATAAAAATCCACTGTTCTTCCGTATTACTATTCTTTTTCCGTCACTCACACTTCTGTTTATTATCTCCTCTTGTCAATCTCTCTTCAGTCTCTCCTCGTGGTTTGTGTGCTACATGGAGAAAGAGTGGTAGTTCGAAGTCCTGTTGAAACCAGTCAGTCAGGACGATTTTGAGCTATATCACCAATAGCCTCCTGCTATTTGTTCTTGTCATTCCGAGGATCCCAACCAGACTGTCTACACCCCCCGAAATGACACAAACCAATTGTCAAAGACTCCGCAGATTGATGCTACCTTTTGGTTTGTCCACCAATAACTCCTTTTCAACCTACTCTTATGTCAGTTACCATTACACGTCAAGGAAGCTGATGGTTCGACATGCACATGTCACAGCCATCTCAATTGATATAGCTTCATAACCTCATCGAATTACCCTCCTTGCCTTAGAATACGCCTAACTTCTTTGTTATTCATCATGTTATTCCACATGAAGTGAGAGACAGAAGGCCCAAACTATGGACAAAGGAAACTTGTCTCTTCATGTTTTCTACTTCTAATGGCCGTCTCACAGACGTAAGAGAGGACGGAACGAATCACTGTGCACTACGCATCTTCTTTGATTGAAAGTGATGCAGAAAGCTGATTCCGATAATTTGCTGTCCATCGAAAATTTTTCTAAAATATTCCTTAGTTTTGACGTATTCATTTAGCGTATTATCCTTTTCTGTTTCGCTCGTAAATGAAATATATATGTCCACATTTTAGCTATTTAAAGTATGCATTAAGTTAAGGTCCTCAGGATGTCAAGAACCAGTGACTGGAGACTACTAGTTTTATGGCTCAAAATCGATCTCAGTGACGGAGATGCATTCACTTTTTGTGATCTCCAATATCCATATGATGCATTCATTATTCAGTTATCTGTGTATAGTGTTGTTCTGAAAAGTTGCATTTCTTTGGTGGAATCTTGCTTGTTTCTGCGAATTTAACATCTATTAAGTATATCAGTTGTATGTGCTTTTTTCATGAAGTATCTTACTTATGATCGACTTACTACTGAGAGGATTTATGCTGTAACCGGATTATACAGATGATATTAATTTCTTTATTTCTTCTTTATATATGAGAAGTAAGTGTGCGGAAGCTATTTTCCCTTACTACTTTTAAAAAAGATATTCGTAACAATACAAACAGATAAGCTTTCATGTCCAAATTGAGTTTATCATTCAAGAAGTAAAAAAGCCTATAGTTATCTTATGATAATGGAGGAGATATTCGATCACGTATCATGAGTTAATCGGACGAAAAGACACTAGAAGCAAGCCATTACCTTTGTAGAATTACCATAAAAGTGATACATTTGTGTTAAGCTTACAGTGATAGTTAAAACAAGCAAGTGTGTTAGTATAGTCGTATTATCTCCCTTTAAGGGAAATGGTTGAATCGCTTTGACCCTCTTGTGTACTCATTCCTATTCAACTTCATAGACACACTAATGGACTTAACCCTAACACACTTCAGAGACTCAGGGATTGACTTGCTACCAGGGAATAATCTCGTCGACTTAGAATATGCAGACGATATAGTCCTTCTAGGCGAGGACGCTGACAAAATGCAGTCTTCTGAACACCTTGAGCAGCAATCTTCGTATGTTTGGCATGGGATTCGCCCCTGTAAAATGTAATATCATGCTGCAGGATTGGACAACACCGACTCCTAGATTAGAAATAGGAAGTGAAGTGGTAGAGCACGTTGACCACTTCACTTACTTGGGAAGTACCATCAGCCCCAACGGGTTGATCTCCGACGAAATCTCAGCACGAATACAGAGGGCTAGTTTCGCATATGCCAGTTTACGCCGTCTCTGGCGTAGACGTGATATCCGGCTATCGACCAAAGGGCGTGTGTACTGTTCAGCAGTTCTCTCCGTCCTCCTTTATGGCTGTGAGTGAGACGTGGCCATCGAGAGTGGAAGACATGAAACGGCTGGCTGTCTTTGATCACAGGTGCCTGTGTTCTATCTCCCGCGTGAAGTGGCATAATAGGGTAAGCATTATTGACGTCGGGCGTCGAGTGCTAGGTAAGGCGGGAAAATCAGTCGACGAGACTGTGAAATTACATCGACTGAGATGGTTAGGACATGTGCTACGTATGCCTAGTCATCGCCTTCCTCGACCAGCGGGCAATGTTAGCTGACATAGGGTCAAGCTGGAAAAGAGCTAGCAGCGGTCAAACCAAAACATGGCTTCACTAGTCAATGAAATCTACAACAGTTGGTCTAAGCCACGTAGGAAGGTGTAGACTTCCTGGTTGGGGTCCTCGGGACAGTAAAAGCCAATGGTTGGAAACAATTGGTGACATGGCTCAAAATCGTTCTCAATGGCTAACGCAGATGCATCCACTCTTTGTGACTTATGATTTCCAATTAAACTGTTTTGTTCTTCGTTATTACTATTCCTTTGTCTCACACCTCTGTTCACTGTCTCTAACATGCATTTCTCCTACTTTCTTCTCTTGCTTTGTGTGCTACATGGATTGTGGAGACTTGAACTGCCGACCGACCGAATGTACACATTAACTTACTATGCTACGATTGTATAATCCACTTACAAGGAGTTTGCGTATTTCCCAGTAAATGAAGAAAAATACCGTCTTTAATGGCGTTTCGCTACATAACAATGTTAATAGCATTATCAGAGTATTATTAAATTAGAATTCAGACAATCTCAGCTTATATACACAATAACTTAGTTATAGTTCTTCAGCATCGATTAACTTCTTGCTGTCAAGTGGAGGAATTGGTATAGATAATAAACTATATGCAGATTGTTGGATTTGATAAATGCATCAATTATCCATAGATCATGTGTTTATCCAGCTTTTTACATTAGGGTTGGTTTCGTCACTTCATGTGGGTGGGTTGGTGTTTGTTGGGATCAGGTCAAATTCTGTCCCAATCCGTCATTTCTATTCAGACAATTCAGATTCCATTTGATATGAATTGTTTCTGATATGAGACGTTTTCCTCTGTGAGTTTTGAATTTTTCTCTGAAGGATTTCAATATTATCAGAAATCAGTTTTTCGACCTGATTCTATAGTGTGTAATAATAATAATAATAATAATAATGCTTTATTTCAGACAGTATGCGAATATATATAGTACAAAGATTTTTAACGTATTCAGTTCAAAGTTACTATTTTCTTCATTCAGGATTTACATGTAAGGTAATTATCAGAAGGATATCTTCATTTCCTTGAAGACTTGCACAGCGTGTTTACTTCGTAGCAGGTTAAATTAGTGCTCAAGTTCATGTATAGGTCATTTCATATAACTGCACAATTAAAAGAATGATAAATCCAGATGAAATTAAGCACTTTAGTGGTGTAGACTGATGACCGATGATTCTTCAAGCTTTCCTAGTCATATCGAATTCCTTGGTTGTCGAAGAGAGACTCCACATTTCTCCGTTGTCATGTAACTATTAATTGTTAGGCTGTTCGGTTAATCAATGTCTATATTGCCTGTATATATGATCAGCATGTAACAACCGGAGTCTAGAGTTGGGAAGAACTCTAAACTTTGTGCTATCTGATATTATATCACTGTTTTTTTTATGATTCTTTGTTATCTATTCTGCTTGCATTTTGTTTTTTTTTACCGTAGACAATGCCTCCCATCGAAAATGGTGAAAAATGATTTTAGCGTATGGGCTTTTGTGAAACAGTGTATCGGAAAGGTAATTTAAATGTATTTGTTTATTTCAATTGGTATTATTTATGGTGGTTTACTTTTATAATTGCATGAGTGAATTTCAAATAAAATATGTGTTCCTCTGAACCCCCCCTTTTTTTTAAAACAAACATTTAAGTATGTCTAACATGTATTTCACACTTGTATGATACATTGCTTCTTGGCTCTCTGAGCTAAATTCACAGTGTAATTTTTGCTACGATTTGTTTTTTCCCTTCACGTTCCGCAGTGGAACAAAGGGCTTTAAGCTAGTGGCTTGAAGTTTCTGTAGCAGTGTTTACTTTACAGGATGGGGTTGCTAGCCTCATGCCCAACCTTTCCTCTTCACCAGCAGTATTTCTGGCTTAGCGAGGGGATCGAACCCCGGACCATGTGCATGGTCGGAGAGCGTCCTAACCGCTATGCCACCGACGCACGATTTGTTGGTCAGTGGTAAAACAGTTATCTGCTACATAGGAGGTCCGCATTCGATTCCCAGTCGACACCATGTTAAACCTAGCCTAAATAGTGGTATTAAAGCTGGAAAAGGAGGAATCTTGAGCATGAGGTTGGCGATCCTACCACATGGAAACAAGACCGCTACTAGTGAAACTTCACAACTTGAAGTTCTATATTCCACTTCAAATGCAAAGGAATGGGGAAAAAGATAAACTGATCACTTGGACTAGTTTACTTATATTGCAGATTGCACGTTAAAATATCCGTTTTTTTGTCTTCTCGTGTCTCCTGTTGATTGATTGACTAAAGGTATACACTTCTGTGAAATGCAACAAGCCAGAACAAACACTGAAGCGGTCTAAGTAACATCTGCTCAGCTGCCTATAACCAATAATAATTACTGTACACCAGATTATAATAAAAACGTTTGACACAGTGTGTAATGTTGTTACTCAACAATTAATTGCAATTCCATGCAGCTGGTAGCGAGCCACACCTATATTGTGTGAGACTAGTGAAACTGGCTGACTGCCCAAACGTCGGTAGGTGAAGCAGGGCTCGAGCCCGTAACCCACTGATGAGAAGTCGAGCGTCTAGACCAGTGGGCCACAGCCCCACTTCATATACGTTAGAAATCAGTCAATGAAAGTTAGCAAATAAATGTCACATAGAGAAAAATCCGTAAACTATCATTAGATATCACAAGTATACATCTTATTAGGAAGAGATTTTTTCTGGAAATGAAATTTCAATATAAATTCTAATTATAAACGGGTATTAGTTAAAGAAAACCTCGCCTAGATTACTAGGTCACTAGTATTCTAGCCGGTCCCAAGCCCGGATAAAGAGGGAGGGTTGGGGCGTGGTGCTAGCAACTCCACCCCCAAAACTTAACCAAATTGCTACGAAAACTTCAACGCACAAATATATTTTAAATTCTAAAAATACAAACAATGACCTTATTTCTCGCTGGAATCGGGGAAGTGAAATGACGCAGGCTGGTGAAAGCCTTCGGGAAGCCAGTCAGCCGATGTGCCTTCTTTCGATGAAAGCAAAAATAAAGATGGGGACGTGGAATATTCGTACAATGTACGAAACTGGAAAGGCTGCTCAGGTAGCCGCAGAAATGAGGAGATATAAAATGGAAGTGTTGGGAATCTGCGAGAGCAGATGGAACGGATGCGGAAGGTGCCAACTACCAACTGGGGAGACAATAATCTACTCCGGTCACCCAGAGGACGATCACGAGCACACCGAGGAAGTAGCCATCATGATGTCACCAACAGCGGCTAAAGCTCTCATGCAGTGGGAACCAATCTCCTCCAGGATAATGACAGCTAGGTTCAACTCAAAAGGAAAAAAGGTTACAATCATTCAATGCTACGCGCCTACAAACGTCTCAGAAAAAGAGAAGGAGGATTTCTACAGTCAACTACAAACAGTAATGGACAACGTGCCAAAGAGCGATATCAAAATCCTGATGGGTGATATGAATGCGAAACTGGGAGGAGACAATACAGGAAGAGAACTCACCATGGGTCGTGAGGCCCTCGGTGAAATGAACGAAAATGGTGAACTCTTCTCAGACTTCTGCGCCTTCAATGATTTGGTGATTGGTGGCAGTGTGTTCAAACACAGGGATATACACAAGGCAACATGGATTTCACCAGATGGACACACCAAAAACCAGATAGACTTCATTTCAATCTCAAAAAAGTGGAGACGGAGCCAACGGTTTTAGGAAGAAAGAAGAAACAAGACAAGGAATGGCTCTCAACGGACACTTGGAAGCTAATAGAGGAGAGGAGAATGGTGAAAGAGAGAATGATTCAATGCAAAGATGGACAAGAGAAAGAGACGCTGAGCTCAACTTACACAGCACTGGACAAAGAAGTGAACAAGAGTGCCAGGAAGGACAAAAGACAATTCTACGACAACCTGGCTACTGAAGCTGAGAAGGCAGCAGGCAAAAAGGACCTGAGGACACTATATCAGATAACCAAGTCCCTATCCGGGAAGAGATCAACACAAGTGAAACCTATAAAAGACAGCCAAGGGAACCCAATTACCAAAGAAGAAAGACAGATTAAACAATGGGCGGACCACTTCAAAGAACTCTTGAACAGACCACCATCTGCAACCCGTCCAGAAATACCAACAACAGCACGTACACAACTGCAAGTTGACACCAATCCTCCAACGAAAGCTGAAGTCATGAATGCAATCAAGCTTCTTAAAGCTGGAAAAGCAGCTGGACCAGATGGAATACCCCCGGAAGCACTGAAAGCGGACCCAGAAACGACGGCAGATATGCTGACTCCATTATTGCAAAAGGTCTGGAAGGAGGGAAAGGTGCCTACTGACTGGAAGAAAGGTTACCTCGTGAAACTACCAAAGAAGGGCGATCTAGGACTCTGCAAGAACTAGCGAGGAATCATGCTCCTGTCGACGCCAAGTAAAATCCTGAGTCACATCATCCTAGAGAGAATAAAGGACTCACTGGATACAGAACTCCGACCAGAACAAGCTGGATTCAGGAAAGGCAAATCATGTTCTGACCAAATTGCAACTCTACGCATTATCATCGAACAAAGCATGGAATGGCAATCAAATCTCTACCTCAACTTCATAGACTTTGAGAAGGCCTTCGACAGCGTTGACCGCGAAGTAATTTGGAAACTACTCGAGTACTACGGCGTACCGCAAATATTCATCAACCTTATTCAACAGCTGTACGACAACGGCACATGCCAAGTGATCCACAACGGAAAACTCAGTGAGGCGTTTAAAGTAAACACAGGAGTCAGACAAGGGTGCTTATTATCACCAATGATATTCCTAATTGTGGTGGACTGGATTATGCGTCAGACAGTGGGAAACGAGAAGACAGGGATATCCTGGACCGACGTGAAGAACCTAGAAGACCTGGATTTCGCAGATGATTTATGTTTGATGGCACACGAAATCGAAGACTTACAAGCGAAAACCGACAAACTGGTGGAAGAAGCAGCAAAGACAGGACTCCAGGTGAACATAGACAAGACGGAGGTTATGAAAATAGCCAGTCAACAACAACAACAACAGCAGCAACATCCAGCGCCAATCACCATCAACGGGAGGGATTTGAAAGAGGCTACTTCTTTCACTTATCTTGGGAGCATTGTCTCAACTACAGGAGGAACGGACGAGGATGTCAAATCGAGAATCAGGAAGGCGAGAAACACATTCATCAACCTGAAACCAATCTGGAAATCTTCGTCACTCAGCCTGTATCAACAACAAAATTCGGATTTTCAATACGAACGTCAAGTCAGTTCTTCTATACGTACGGATCAGAAACTTGGCGGGTCACAAAGAATATACCCAACAGCCTGTTGCAGACGTTTATCAACAACTGTCTTCGCTGGCTCTCTACTGAAGATCAGATGACCGCCGGAAAGAATCACCAACAAGAAGCTATGGGAACAAACAAAACAGGAACCAATCGCCCAACAAATATGCAGGAGAAAGTGGAGATGGATTGGACACTCGCTGAGGAGGCCGTTGGGTGACATCGCGCGTCAGGCCCTCGAGTGGAACCCGAAAGGGAAGCGGCGGGTGGGACGTCCAAGGGTGACATGGAGGAGATCGTGTGATGAGGAACTGAAACAATATGGATTAACATGGATGCAAGTGAAAAGTACAGCACAAGACAGAAGCAAGTGGAGGTGTGCAGTTGAAGCCCTATGTTCCACTAGGAACCCAAGGGAACAATAATAATAATAATTAGTTAAAGAATCATTGAGAAACAGGGGAAGCGTCACTGGACGGCTGTTCCATCATAGTCTCATCATCTTCAGTGATGCGTACGCATAACGTTACTAGTAGTCGGAACTAGGTTATTAGGTGAGCACGTTTAATGTTTTGACGCTGGACTGGAATCCAGTGGCCTGTAGTTTCAGGAATTTCGGGGTATGGATTGGTCAACTGGTTACCAGAAGAGCTCTGTGTGTAGACTGCTTGGTTGGAGTCTTTGAGGTGGTAATAATCAATGTATGGAGACTGTTCACGATACGGCTCAACATCGTCCTCAGTGGCACAATTGATTTCATTCATTATAATCTCCGAGGTAGATAAAGTCTTTCTGTTTCTCCAGTACACTCCTGCTCATTATGCCCCATTTAAATGTTTTCTATTATTGTACTTTTGTGTGCTATAAGGAGGAGTATGGCAATTTGAACTGCTGCATTTTTGAGTGAGGTTTCACTTTGGAACTCAATCAGTCGTTGATCAGTTCTGGGTTAAATTGTTGGTGGGGAGATGGATGTAAACTGCTGACGAGTCCCAAACAAGGACGAACTGTCTATTCAGTAGTCCCTATTTTTTATGTTCTCAAACAGATATTCGTTTTTAATGGAAAAAACTTACATTGACCTTAATCCAAACTCTACAAAGTAATTGTTGGTTAGTAATCACAATAATATATAGCTTAGAAAAAAAAGAACATAAGTGACTTTAATTGATAAACGCAAAGCGCAAAAGGAACAGAACCGAAAAAAAGATTAAAAG